GAATAAAATTCAGACTGCACATTAGTTGATTTACAGAACTTTACATTTTAAAGGTTATTTAAATATACTGAAACATTTTTACATAACTTTTCACTTCTCAATTATTTTGGTTGAGTCTCTCTCATCATTTGACTCACAGTCTCACAGGATTAGTCACATAAATGTAAGTATAGATAAAACACATCATTGAAAGCAATGCCTAACAGCATTCTCCTGTTTGTACACTAAGAAACAGTCTATGGGAATACAGCTGTTCTTAGCCATAGATATTCCTTGTGTGGAAATTAGGAAGACCTGGATATTTAAATAAATTTTGTCATTCTCTTTTTCTATGTTCATTTATACAAAGCACAAATTCATTAATTATAAGAACAAAGATCAAAGCAGTTCGCATTTACTATTAACACTTATGCCCTTTTGTGTATGGAATTTTTAACAACATTTTATAAGAAGATTCATGGGGGCTAGAAAGATGGTTCAGTGCTTAAGAGCACTGGATGCTCTTGTAGAGGACCGGGGTTCAGTTCCCAGCTCCCACATGGCAGCTCAACTGCCTATAACTCCAATTTCATGGGATCCAACACTTTTCTGACCTCCATAGGCATTGCATGACATGGGTAAACTTACATGCATGTAGGCTAAACACTCATACGCATAAAATAAAAAATAAAATTTAAAAATTTAAGAACTTGATAGTTGATAACACTTTATTATTATTAGCCAGCATTTTAAATAATTATCCTGCTTTTGTATTTCTCTACTTCTTAGTTGAACTCATAAATACTGTAAATCCTATAAATAGAGAAAGGCAATACATACCTGTGTATACACATATATGCATTCACCAACCAGTTTTCCAGGAACTAACAATATATGCTAAATATTTCCTCTTTTTTCATTAACTGTGGATTTGGGACGGGGTCATTCTGCTATAGATCCTTGGGAGCATATTGTATTGTTTTACATTTTTTAATCCTGAACAAATTTAAAATAAGTCTCCAAAAGACAATGAGAAGATGCAGGTTATTGTGAGGCCATGACTAAAATATAGAATTTGAGGCTGTCCACCTACTCATCTCAGTTGAAAGAATCTTTTGTGAAGAAGGTCAGTTGAAAACAAGACTATAAAAATGTTGTGGAAGCTTTAAAAAATTTAAGCAAAGATGAAAGGAAATGGAAGAGAAGGAAAAGATTTTCACTCACCAGAAGATGCTAAAATAGATGGTAACTTATTTCTAGCAGTTATAAGTAAGTTGTATTTAAAAGTGTTTTAGGGCTTTGAGTGTAGTTCGATGGTAGAATGCTTTCCCAGTATGTGTGAGCTAGATTTGATCCATAACACTAGAATCTCACCCTCCCCATGCCAGGAAAATTTAAATAATAATTTTAAAACTTTTGTGAGAGAGTAAAACAAGGATCCTTCCCTTTAGAAGATTAGATGTGGGGGCTGGAAGGATAGCTCAGTGGTTAAGAGCCTTAGCTGTTCTTGCACAGGACCTGGGTTCTGTTCTCAGTACCCACATGGCAGCTGTCTGTAACTCCAGTTTCAAGGGGATCTGATGCCCACCCTCTTCTGGTCTCATGGGCCATTGCACTGATGGATGCACTTACATACATGTAGGAAAACAGACATACACATAAAATAATAAATAAATCACAAATTTTATTTTTTTATATTTTAAAAATATTTTATTATTTTTATTTTATATGTATGAGTATATTGCCTGCATAAAAGTAGGTGCACTTGTGTTGTGCAATGCCCACAGAGATCAGAAGAGGGTGTCATATCCCCTGAAAGTGGAGTTATGGATGGTTGTTAGCTGCCATGTGAGTGCTGGGAATTGAACCCAGGTTTTTGGCAAGAGCAGCTAGTACCCTTAACCACTAAGCCATCTCTCCAGCCCTGTCACACAAAGAAATTTTTTAATTCAGATGTGGCTGCTCTTGCAAAGGACCTAAGTTCAGTTCCCTGTACCCATATCAGGCAGCTCACAACTGCCTGTAACTTCAGTTCCAAGGGATGAGACACCCTCTTCTGATGTCCGTAACACCTGTTTTCATATGTACATGCCCCACACAGACATACAGATGCATAATTAAAAATAAAAAATCTTTTAAAAATCAGATGTTATTTTGTGTGCCTTTTGCTTATGACCTCTAGATGTGCGCATAATCTAATGCATTTAAACAAGATCTACAATAAATTATCTTCAGACAGCACTAACACAATCTAATCTACCACTAAGAAATATTCATGTTTCCATCATCTTTAAGTTATTGAACATGAACTTTTACATCTTGAGATAATAGTTCTACAAGATTCTCAAGTGTCATATTATGTATTCAAATTGGAGTTTGAGGGCCTGGAAAGATGGTTCAGTGGTAAGAGCACTGGCTGCTCTTGCAGAAGACCCAGGTTTGAATCCCAGCACTCACACGGGCGGGTAACAACTGTCCATGGCATTCCATGGGCACTGCACAACACAGGTGCATTTACATACATGCAGACATAACACTCATACACATAGAATAAAATTTTTTTTAAAGTAAACCAAATTGGAGCTTAATTAAAGCTAGCTTCTATTAAAACATTCAAAAAGCTGCAACTATTAAGACGGAATCTCTTTCCATTTTCAGTGCATTTTTAGCTTGCAAATTTGCTAAAACATTAGTCCTATGGTTGAGCTCCATCATGTATTTAGTCCACTATTAGCATGTGTAGGGAGATTAATACCTTTGTTTGTGTTTTAGGAAGCCATAGTAATGAAAGCTTCCAATGGAAAAGGATTTTCCCGACCTGCTAGACCAGCAAATCGCAGGCCCCCATCCAGATGGGCATCCAGATCTCCATCGGCACCCCCTGCCTTACGGAGGACTGGCCACAGCTATAATGTCTCTCTGGGATCTGATGCCCCAAGGGTCTAAGTCTCTAGCCTGGATTTCTGGATTACAAGAATTCTAGTCCCTGTTGCTATGAACTGAATATCCGGAGTGTTTACAACCAGTCCTGTTCTCTTCTGTGTCTTTCAAGATCACTGGGACAAGCAATTTAAACCCTAACTTTCCATCAGTCTTCAGTGTTTTTGATCTGTAGAATAATTATCTCCTTGTATTTTGATTTCTTCGATCAGAGTTTTTTTCATTACCATCCTCGTTGAGTTTCCAATATGATTTAAGTTGACACAATGTACAATATTGTATATTTTAACTTTCTCGCAAATGCAGAAAGCAAGGTTATGTGCATGGTCATGTGTTTGTAGGTGCATGTATTGTCATAGGAAATAGTCTAGTATGTATTTAGATAAGAAAAAAATTTATGTGCTGGTGTTGACTTTGAAATTACAACATATATACCTATATATTCTTTGTGTTTATTTTGAAGTTTTGAAAATATACAGTTCTGTTTATATTTTGTATACCTTTTAATAGGTATCCGCCTGAGACATTTGACATTCATATATCATTTAATCACTTGGCCCACAACTACATTGAAAAGTAAGAATTATACGCATACCTAACATTGGTAATTTTCTAGATACAGATCTTAAATAGCATCTCAACTTACATGAAGATAAGCTGATAATGCTGATTTTGTTTATTCTTTTAAATAAAACTGTCACAAGTTTGACAGTTCAGCCTTCTAAAGCGAGCAAAGAATGTTCACAAATACTTTTATACGTCTTCTGGTAGTCTCATGTGGCTTAACTGTATACATAGTTCTCAGACCCAGTATCATAAGACTGCCTTAATAATGACAGGACAAAGTAATGAATTTATTTTGTCAACCTCAGTAACAAACATTCCTTAAATGAGATGAAAAAAGGAATTAAATTATGCTGGATTTTACTTTTTGTTAAAATTGTGGTTTTTAGTTTAAAGCACCCAAGCTTTATCTGGAGTCCTATCTATGTGGAGGTAAGTCATTCTTTGTTGTTTTTGTTCCTTTTCCTAAACTTTTCCCCAAAAATAGTAGAGAAAATATTAATTCACTTTTTTATTAACAAAGAAGTTCAGGAACAATATTTCATGATTGCTGAATTACGATTCTTATACTGTGTTAAAAAAAAAAAAGCCTCACACTAAATTTAGGCACTCACAGTAGCACAAGAAGCAATAACTTGGCTGTAGTTTGCTTTCATCAGATGCGTGAAATCTACACTGAGAGGTATCATAGAATAAATAGGGATGTTGAGGTACTTGGAAACTTGGAATCTTACATGGATGATCTTAGAAGCAACTTTCTTTTCCATTGTCCTTGTTTAAAACCAGTGATATAACTGTTAGTTAGATGTGAATTCTATTTCCCCCAACTTATGAAATTCTTATTCTAAATAAATTCAGCAGGCTTTTTCCTTATGTTACTCTGGCTGCTTAGAGGAATTCGTTTTATCATACCATGCTTTGAAGTAAAGTAAATAATTTGTAATTTGTAAATCACAAACTGCCTTAAAAGGCTCAAGACTGTAGCATGGTAATGGCTAGGTTCATGGTTTACAATAAGAAACATTCCCAGACTTAAGTGAAATTACATGTCTAGAATGTGTTTGGCACAGATGTTGAGGGCTATACATCCACTCTTCTGAGTCCCACGCTTCAGGGACTAAATTTTTCTACTACAGGAGAGTAGCCCAGATACCAGGTTTCAAGTACTCTGTGCTTTTCCACTAGAGGGGAGAAAACACCTGGAAAGTGGTTCCTTGGGGCACGAAATGATGAACCAAAAATAAAACTGTAGACAGTAGTGCCCAAAGACTGTGCAACATATCTGTTCCTCTCCATCCATGTATCCAGGCAGTCTGCTGTGATCTGTAGTCTCTGCCTATATGTACAAATTACAATATCAAGGATCTCCTAAGAAAATAAAATTCTTGATGACATCTCATCAGTAACAAAGAAAAATTTCCTGCAGTGGGGAGCTAGGGGTTCTAGGATTTTTTTTTAACAAAACAAAAAAGGCAATGCAACATATTCAATGGTCAGGCTGATTTGAAAGCAGGGGCACACTGATAATTCCTGAGTGCCTGAGTAAGTACTCTGGGTACTATGTTTGATTCCTTAGTACTTGCCTTTGTTATCAACTAATGAAAAGAGTTACATGGCGAGGCTTCCAAGTTTTAGCCATCTTTTCTATTATTCAGATGATCCACTGGGACCATTTTTAATATATTAAATCATATAATATTAGAGCTGAAAAAAATTAGCACTTAGTCCAGCCCCTTGATTATAAAACTGAAGAACCTAAACAAATTGAGTATACTGTGTTGTCTTTTAAAATAGTTTATAATTTTGGGGGGAAAACTTACCAGATAAATAGGCGTTATCCTTGAAAAATATTTTTTATTGTGATTTTTAAAAAAGATTTATTTCTATTTTATGTGTATGAGTGTTTTACCTATATATACATGTAAATGCATCTTTTGCATGCAGTGCCCACAGAGGCCAGAAGAGGGAGTCAGATCCCCTGGAACTGGAGTTACAGACAGTTGTGAGCCACCATGTGGGTACTGGGAACTGGACTCAGATTTTCTAGAAGAATAGCCAGTGCTCTTAACTGCTGAGCCAGCTCTTCAGCCCCGAGTTAAAGTATAGTTTTTAATTGGCAATTTCTCTACTTTGGGTGAACTTTTTCTTCCCCAGAGCATACCCTTCATTATGCCATCAGTGTTGTATTTAAGGACTTTGTAAATGTTGATAGGGATATTTGATTAGGAATAGATATTTTGAGATCTTTTCCCTGACAGGCTTTGAAAGGAAGTCATACATTTTTTTTTGGGGGGGGGGGGGGATTGCTGATTCTGTGGGCTGATTTCAGAAGCAGAGTTCTTGAGTTCCTCTATATGTGAGAGATGGTGTGGGGTTGGGCATGTGTGGCTACACATGAGGTTCCTCACATGGGGTTGTGCATACCTGTGCGCAAGAGCCACTCTCCATTTTCTATATTGCCTTATGTCCCAAAGCCAAATATAAATGATACTTTATATAATTAAGTGTTTCAAATTTTACCCATGGCTTTCGTTTGTTCTCTTAGACAATGGTGGCAATATTTCATTTTTCTGATATTGCCCCCAAACATGATTTACTTCTACATAGATTATTAAGCAGGCTCCACAAAGTCCTGAAAAATAAACCATCTGTTCTATAAAGAATACCAACTTCTGTAAAAACATCTTTAAACTTATTTTAGGCACATTTTCTGATAAAACAATGATTTGATATTGAAATTTTCAGCCATTGGGAACTATTAAATAAAATAAATTTTGGAAACACCTGCTGTTGTATACACTGAGAATGTTTTTGTTTTTCTTCCTTTTCAATACTGATCTCCAATGAAGCTTTGAGTGTAACTCAAATGCATACATGGTTTAATCCAGCTACTTCCAAAATATCTCTGGCATTTAAGCCAAATCTGTCAACATACACAACCCCCTGTGGTTTCTCATGCACATCCACTGTGATACCCACCTGCTAATTTTTGAGTCTGAAGAATTTCTTTGAAAGGAGCATTCCTGTATGGCATTTACATTTACATAGTGGAATGAAATTATTTTTAAATAAACTCAGTTTCTAGTATAGTTTTTTATTACTTCAAATTCTGCATGTTTTTCTAGAGAATTTTCTATAACTGTTCTCTGAGAAAATAAACTCTATTAAAAAATGGACATCATAGGGGCTGGAGAGATGGCTCAGCGGTTAAGAACACTGATTGTTCTTGCTGAAGACCCAGGTTCAAATCCCAGCACCCACATGGCAGCTAACAGCTGTCCATAACTCCAGTTCCTGGGGATCCAACAGCCTTTTCTGTCCTCCACGGCCATTGCATGACACGGGTGCACTTACCTACACACAGACAATACACGCATACACATAAAATAAAAATAATAAAAAATATTTTTTAAATGGACATCACAATCCAGAATCAAAGTGAAACATGCTTTGGGAAAATTCAGGCTGCTACTTGATCATTTTTCTACATATTTTTTTCTTACCATAGGAATTTATATCAGTAAAAGAAAATCACAAGATTTAAATTGGATTTATATTTTGGTAATCTTATGAATCCAGTACAGTAGACTGATGAAATCTAAATATATATATACTTTTTTATATGAACCATGAAGTCTATAAATTCAGAAAGAGTCCAGAATTGGCAAACGTTTGAAAGTTGCTGTATTAGAGAATAGAGAAGTGGGACCAACATAATGAATAGACATTGAAAGGAGATTTATTAGCTTGGCTTACCTGATACGTGCTAGGTAGTTCAGTGTCACAGTCTTCATGATGGAGATGCATAGAATCTGGCTGATGCTCAGTCTATGAGACTGGATGCCTCAGCATTTCTGATCTGGTTGCTGAAAGTCTGGAGGATTCCCAAAGAGTCACTGATCTTCAGTCCACACTGGAAGTTCTGAATAAACTGAATGTCATGTCAGTAGACGATGACAAGGAGAGGCAGCAACACAGTAGATGCACTCCCAGAAAAGTGTGCAGCAAAAAGCAATAGGTTTTCCTTTGGCCCCCCTTACCTGGGCTTCTACTAGAAGGTGCTGCCACTGTGAGAGGGGTGCCTTTTCTCATCATATAATCTTCCCAGAAATACCCTTACAGATCTTCCCACATGCATGACTCTTTGTTGATTCCCAGTCCTCTCATGTTGACAACCAAGATTAATCATCATAGTCACTGAGAACAATATCATTTGGAGGTGAGAAGCCTGTTACTGCCTGTCCATATCTGAGGAATAGAACCCAAGCTAAACCCTGAAGACCCATGTTCTGCTTCTCTGTATAAATGTGTCTGTGACTTACAGTTTGAAAATGTATTCATATGCCAAGATTTGTTTGATTCTTACAGCAAATTTCAAGGAAGGCTTCGAGATTTCTACTTACAAAAGGGAAATTTAAGTAGAATAATTATCAGAATGAATAATATTTCTCAAGATGGTGGTTGGAAACAGGTAAGTGGTGCCTTAGACTGGCTGGCTCAGGCTCTTTCTCAAAGCTGTTTTCCTATTAGAAAAAAAAAAGACGGGAGGAATAAAAAGAATGAACAATGACTTTATTTTTTGCAATGTTTTATGCATTCCACTGAAATTATTTTTATCTATCTGAGATTTTCTCTCGATTATGCCTTTTAGTGATTTTACTCCTGACTTACATGAATTTAATAAGTTCAAGAAGTGAGAATTTTGCATCTATGTTCATTAAAGATGGGACTATAGTTTTCTTTTGGGGTTGTGTCTTTACCTGGTTTTGGTATTAGAGTGTTGCTGGCTTCATAGAAGGAATTTGGGAGTTCTCCCTCTACTTTTATCTTTTTGAATAATTTAAATAGTATTGGTTGCAAATCTTTTTTAAATGTCTTGTAGAATTCTGCTGTAAACCCATCTGGGCCTGGGCATTTTTTAATCAGGAAGTTTTGTATTACTGTTTCAGTTTCCTTATATGTTACAGGTCTGTTTAAGCAGTCGATCTCTTGTTTTAGCTTTGGTGATTCCCAATATTTTGGATATCCATCCATTTCTTTTCGGTTTTCAAATTTAAGAGTATAGGTTTTTTAAATATTCCCTTATAATGTTCTGGGTCTTTTGGGTGTCTGTGATGTTTCCCCTTTCATCTCTGATATTGATTTGGAGTTGCTCTTTCTTTTGGTTAACTGGGCTAAGGGTCTATCTTGTTTAGCTTTTCAAATAACGAGCTCTTAGACTCACTGATTCTTTGTATTGTTTTCTTGTTTCTATTTCATTCATGTCTTCTCTGAGTTTTGTTATTTCTTCTTGCCTGCTGAGTTTGGGTTTCATTTGTTCTTGCCTTTCCAGAGTCTTGAGTTGCAATGTTAAGTTATTTGTG